GCACTAATTTATTTTCTTAATATTATCCAGATGTAATGTATGCTCAAATCTGCTCTTGGTGGCTGTGGGTTAATACTGACCTTGTAAAAAACAATTTCCCTGTCCAAAAGACCACAAAGCACTTCAAAAAGAGCTGGTAGTCTCTTGTACACCATTAAAATTATTGCATCATCAGGCATATTCCTCACAGGGATCTTCTTCATAATCACACTTAGGGGATGAGTAGAAATTGAGGAATCTCTTGTTGTCAGAAGTGATAGCTCAGTCACGGTGTAACAACAGCAATTGCACGGGAACCTGCAGGCACTGATCTTTTCCACTCCTCGCTTAATCAACTGGCCACAGCCAGGACCAGGAAATCAAATCTACCCTATCTTTTCCTTAATCAAAACTTTCCCTGACCCCTCCCAACTCAAAACATCATCTTTGCCAATGGTATCAATCTTTGCTGTGTAATGCTTCCTACCAGACTTCACTGTACACCCAGATTTTTGCTGTCTAGCCTTAAATCTGACACCTTCTACCCTATACTTCATCTATGTCTTTACCCACCTTCTAACTTTTTTCTAACGCTGTCATGTGTTTCTGAGGTTGATATTCTTAGAACTCTGTGATACATTGACAACCCAACCCAGCCCAGCCTGCCCTGCGATGCAGTGGCAGAATCCACTGAAGCTGTGCTGTGAGCTCCAGACTCCCTGACATAGGTGGTATATATATTACTGTTGTTGGGCAAATTAACACCTAGGAAGGTTCATCTATGGACTGAGAACCCATTGCACTGGTATTATTTGCAGAACAAAAAGACCATACCTACTCTAAAAGTCTAAAGAAGCAAGACTATTATCTTACAGGACAATATTCACCCACCTTGCTCTCATCCCTGAGTATGGTTCCTCAACATGCATTCTTTCTTCTAAATTTACTTCTACATCTTAATTGCATGACTTAGGATTTTGGCACTGTAGGCCAGTCCTTGTATTGCTAGTTATACCAAATTGTTTTATCTCGTCTTACAGTGTTTTTCACGACATTCCAGTTTATGCATTTTTGGCATATACACCATGCCTGAAGTCTTTGTGTATGTACTACAGGAATAACAACTGTGGTGATATCAAAACGGATAATATATTATGGAAGGAAAGGGAAACCAGTCATGAATATGGGAAAAATGAGTTAAGAAATATTAAGTTTGGGTGGTGAAACTAGGAGAGAACAAGAAATGTAAGGTATAGGCATGGATCTCTAGGTTCAAAATCACTAAAGAGGAGTAACATTTAGAAGGTCCTGTTAGCAGGTTTGTGTTAGAGATTAGCAGTTATTATGACTTTGGATGTGGTAGAGAAAGAATAGAAACAACAATCTTGCCCATGGCCATCTCTATTCTGATTCGTGCTGCCTTGAGAAAATATAGGTATGATTAGAAAAATATAGATATGTGCAAGAAAGGAGTAGAGACGAAGTGGAATCCGTATAAAAAGAAAGAGCATGTTTTGCAGCCATGAATGGAAAAAGGACAAAAGGGAAAAGAGAAACCAGTGCTGTCTTAAAGAAAGAGTTTTGGCATAAAGGACATGTTACTGGAACAGGCAAATTGACCATTTTGATTACATCTCAGGAATAATTAACAAAAAATAGAAGTGTGGGATTTTTTTCTCATTGCATTCGGAAACATTAAAAGTTAGTGTCCCTAATAAAGTGTTACACAGTATACACAGGTGTTATTTTATCACAGCCAACCTATGAGGAGAAACAGAGGTCAGCAGAACTTTAAAAGGGAGATATGACTTACTCTGACTTTAATTTGCTTTCAAAAACGTAGTCACTGACCCTTTAAATCACAAGCCAATTACAAGCATTGTAGTGCCATTACTAATTACATGCTGAGAGTGTAAATTTAAAATGGCAATTTCAATTTTCTGTTCATTGGGAGAATGCAGGAAAATGAAATTGCATACTAATTAGTTCATGTGTGTCAGACACCTGAAAGATTAGAGAAAAATACTCTGCACTCATTACAAGTGAGTTATAAGCAAAGCACTCAAACCTTTCACTTGCCAAGCTGCATATAAATAAAGAAATTAAATGGCAAAGAAAATTGATAATAATGGAACAAGGCAAAAATAGCTATAGGCCTGTACATAATTATACTTTGGGGGACTTTGCCCATTATACACGGCTTCCTTTAGAATTTATCTAGCATTAGGAACTACAAGAGGGTAACAAGCTACTGCTTTAGGTTCACTGTGCTAAATGTTAATTCACGTTTCTGGCTTTGTAACCTTCCACTTAATCTCTGCCAAACATTCATATTGTTTTTCAGAAGCCATCTTCTGGACCAGCTGCTTCACCACTCAGACCAACATGGAAAAGGTCCCACATGCAGACCCCTCACATTAGGATCCAGGAGGAAGCTGGTGATACAATAGAGAAAGTAAAAACTCAGAGTAGGCTGTTGTTAGAGGAAGCATTTCTACCACAAGACCAGAAGGAAGGTAGCCTGAAACTTAGCACAAATCAGAGTGGGCTGACTTTTTGTAACCTTCCACAAATGCTTACAAAGTATCTCCCTGGCCATTATAGAAGTTGTGCAAAAATAAGATATGGGATTTCTGCTTCTCCTCTCTCTCAACAGAAACTGTTCACCCATACACGGGTCAGACAATGTCCGTCTCTTACAGTGTGTTTCACGCTTGAAGAACAAGACAGTCCTCTGATCTAAAGAACTACTATGCAGCACATAAATTGTGAGTTTGTGGAGGTCTGTGTCCTTACCAAATCAAAACAGGGTTTCTGCAGAAGACTAAAAAGTACTTTTTCTCTATGAGTATCATCTCCCTGACAAATTTAGGTTTTCTGTTCCCAGGCATTGTAAGGAGAAAAGTCTTCAGAAAAGGAAAACAAAACCCCTCTCAAGTTTTAAACTTCTGTTTTTAAATTACAAAGAGTATTTTTATTTTTACTCTGAACTAAAAAGAAAAATAAAATACTTGGCAAGTTTTGTGAAAAGTACAGACAAAAATTTATTTTTAAAGAAAAATGAGAAGAAAAAGAAGGAAATGCTAGGTGCTTAGTATACATTAATCGTATCACTTAATTAGCTCCTAGAAAGTCCTTACATACTATGGCTGTCAAAATTACAGAATAACCTGCATGGGAATGGCACTACCTGGATTAGGTCATTAACTCCAAAAAAGAACAAATTGTTCAAACCTGATGCCATGGGCTGAGATTTGTAGACACATTTTCTCCATTGGTCCAACCTTCCTTCCAGGTAACAGCAAAGAGTAGTCTTCTTTGGGAGCAAAGTCCAAGACAGACATAATTCTGGTCTGGGTAGAAACCTGCACAGCTGCCAGACAGCTGCCTCCACAGTGGGTGGCAGCTTTGCCAAGTGCAAATGTGGAAGCAACAGACCATTAGCCATCCCCATCCAGTTCATCTCCTAGTAAAGACATGTCTAGGGGGCCAGTGCTAAATGATTCTGAATTTTTTCTCCAGCTCATTTAATAAAACCCACACTCTAAAGCAGCCCAAAAGCTACTGTAACAGTGACTTTTTCATTATCCATTAAAGTTACATTAGCTTTCTACTCCTGTGAAAATAATTATCCTCAAGTCCCTTAGAGTTATTTTTCCAGTTCTTTTTCAATGTATAAATTTTACAGACTTCCTAACCCCTCTGGTCTTTACGGAAGAAAACTGACTTAAGATACCTTGAAGGGCCTTTGTGTTTTCACTCTGCAGTGAATAACAAACAGTAACACCAGCTTCATTTTTCTGAACTGACAAAATCCAGCACTCTCAGCCTACCAGTTTCAGAAAACTTCATCAAACAGTGCTCTGTGCCTGCTCTCCAAACAAGAAAAATGAACAGGTAATCCTGTATGCCTTTTTCCCACATCTCTGGGAACGACTCAGAAAAATCACAAATGGTAGTCAGTACGAAAGCTTGAATATGAACAAAAATTATGCCATGTACACAAAGGTAACTTAAAGAAGAGTGTGTCTGACAGACCCAAGGGATATATGGACAGTTCAACTTAGTCAGTGCTAGTAGGCAAGATGCTCAAGTACCATCTTTTGCTACTTCTGTGGTGGGTTCACTGGGAGGGAAGCACCCTCTTCACATATTGACTATACTCATTAGTGCAAAAGGTTTTCCCATACGTATCTAACATCACCTTTATTAACTAACTAAAATGCCAAAGCTTAGTCCAATTCACATATCATGAAAAGAAAACACCATAAAAGTGTTTGCTACAGCAATCACTAGATAATCATCATCTTCATTAAAATACAGCCATAGGACTTCATATTCACTGCTTCATGACTTTTACTGAAGTCATTTGCTGGGCGCAGAGAAATCCAGTCCACAAAGAGGGCGCTGCCATTTGAATCATTCTAGCTCTAACATCCTTGAGTGGGAATGAAAAAAATGTGTATTTTCAGCTCCACAGATATGGTTGAACTAAAAGCTATTTCAACCTTAATTAAACCAGTTCTTGTTACTTCCAGCATGATGCATACAATGCTTAACCTGTGTGTCCAGAGCAGCTCAGAAGAGAGGACAAACTATTCCTGTAGGCTTTGGTAGGGCCAAAACCACATTAAAGCACTCTAGAATTATGCCCAAGGAAGGCTGCATGTGTCAAGGTATCTCCACCAAGACATATTGCTCTAAATGCTACTAAGGACCTAATGAGCAAATGTAACATGTGGAAAGCAGCCTCCTTGAAAAAGGTCTTTGTAAATTTTCTTCCATGGTTTAGAGCCACAATGGAATATACGCATGCATTTTTACAAATAAAAAAAATTGTGCATTTGTAAAGTCGAGATTATTATTGTTTTGCAAATAAATAGTCCCTTTTAGTCTAGGCTACATTTCTGACAGTGAATAAGAATCTAGCTGTTAGTTTACCACTTGTCTTCATCAGTTTCTTAAGTGACTCTGGCAATTGAATCAAGGAGATTTTTCTCCTCCTCAGCTCCATCTGTTACCTGAATCCATGGCCATCTGTCATTTTCTGCAGCAGTCCAAGCATTCACAAGACCCTTCTTATTAAGTCGTGCATAGTATGGATACCATTTCTGGAGTCCAAAAAGAGCTCGATGAGTGGATGATGCAGTAATTTGTTGGTTTGACACAATTCCTCCTTCTATCCCTAGTGGGCCAGAGCATCCTGCAAACAGAAACAAGAAAAGAAATGAATGCAACTGAAATGATCAACTCTTCTGACTCCCAGCTGGCTGTAATTACAAATAGCATACAAATAGATCCAAAATGTCACATTGAATATGTTACTAGAAGAGACATAAAGCACTCGAGTAATATCTTCTTTTTGTAGAAATGAAAAAAACCAGTACAAAAATATAGCTTGTAAGTAACTATTCCCATTGCAAGATTAATGAAATAGATTAAGCTTTCAATTCCTTTTGGTTTGTTCTAGCTGAAAAATTGTGAATTTGGGCTTTATGGATACAATGAAAGAAAATGATCCTTAGATTCAAATACTGGAATAGTTGCTAAAAGCAAATTTAAAATTCTGTAATTACTGCAAAGCTCTATATTGCTGCTCTTGCCATAGAGGTTAACATTTAGCCAATATGCTACATATTGTTATTGCAGTTATCTTTAGAAATATGAAATTAGACACATGATATTGTTCAGTTACATTAAAAATAGTTAGAGGTCTTATACACCTAATCAGCAAACCACAAAGTATGTATTTAACTACAATGTTCAAATGTTCATAATTTTATGTGTGGTATTCATCATTAATTTATTCACCTGAAACACTTGTAGACATAATCTTTTTTAAAGTCAAGATATTTCTGCATACATTGTTTTCTGAAGCCACTCCATTTGGGTACAGGAACAAGAGCATTCAGTTATTGTGAGCAATCCAAACAGAGAAAGTTTTGAAAATTCATTATATACAAATGATTGGCAGTCTACCTACTATTAAATACCCCCAACCACTTTCAAGTAAATAAGATTTTTTTTCTCAACTCAAATTTAATGCAGAGTATAAAGAGAAGCTAATTCCAGGAACTACTGTAGCAGCTGATCTTGCTCAGTTGCCCAAAAGATCTGCTTTGTGGGTCAACTGCACTTCAGCAATTTTGAACATGACAGGACAGAGCAGATGTTTACTTACACTTTAGGTTTTCTCAGAAGCTTGGCATTGTTTCACCTTAAGGAGAACCTGAGAATGAACTCTGAAATGGTACTGCTATGAAATCCTTACACCATATGGGCAGAAAGTCACAAATAATTTAATTCCTCATTAATTTAAAGGTACAGAGAAGAAAAAGTGACCAGTGCAATTTGCTCCTCTTGGCAGAAGCTGAGGCAGGGAGACAGTGCTGGGAGTCACTGGCAATACAATCCCTGGGTATTGTGTGTCACTGATAATGGATACAAATAAAAAATAAATTGAAGTTTTAAGTTTATTATGGAGCAAGGGCCATGGCTCTGAAAAGATAAAGTAAAACCCCCACTAAAGGTGTGGTTCCAAATCTGTTACTTCTTAAATGAAAAAACTGGTTTGCTTCCAGGATATGCTTACATGAAATCCTGAAATTAATGACTGACTTGCACCATACGATGATTTCATCCACATTTTTAACAGTCCACAAAGCTCAGCTAGAATCTAAAGTCCTATTTCTACTTTTCTGTGTCATGTATCACCCAACAATAAAGGCAGGCATTCAGCACTTAACTAATAGCTCTGTTCATGCTGCAAAAAACATAACAAAATGCAGCTCTCTCCTGCTGTTGTGCCAGGTGTGTAGTAGTGCCAGATGAAAACAAATTCTTTGTCACCAGCATAGGTAGACACTATATAGGATGTGTTCGAAAAACCCACATATGTTGGCAAAATGTCATTTTTCATTGTGTTATCAAGCGTTACTTAAAAATTGAAAGACCTATTCAAATCTTAGCTCTGTTTCTGAAATCTGTTCATCTAACCAGAATAAATTCCTTTGGTGTATAAACTGCCATATCTGCTTGCAAGCCAGGGGTAAACTACTCTCCTAAAAAAATTGCATATTTTCAAAAGTTTCTTGTATTTACCTATTAAAATGTCTTCATTGTTTCTGGATGAAAAGAAAGTGCACAGATGTGTGTCTATGTGTAGGTGTAACTCATAAACACACACACGTACTTACAGGACTGATTCCATCTTACCATGAAATTAACAACCCCTAATAGCTGGTACAGATTGATAAGTATTTAAAAATAGATATGTGAGAAAACAGAAGAGAGGTTTCCAAGAGGAACTTAAAAAGGAGGCATGGCAAATGTTTTAATATGGATGTACAGCATACAGTTATATTCTTTATAAATATTCTTCTCTCATGGTGAGGAGCACAGGGATGAGGACACCTGCCAGCCCTGCTAGCATTATTGAGTGACCTAACGGGAAAAAATGTGTGTACAAGGACAGAGCCTCAGCATGTGTCAGGGCCAGTTTTGAGTGGGATCCAGAATAAGGGCATTTGGCTTTAGCAGCTAATTTTCAAAAGAAGAACATGTATTTGATGATGAAACCCTTGATCTCCTATAGACAACCTAGCTTTGGCAGACTTGGAAGAGATGTGTATGTATGTCCATTGTTTTTGCTTATCATCCTTTGTTTAAAGTGCAGAACTTTGTGGAAAGTTTTGATTTGAAGGCGTGTTAGTTCTCATGCTTGAGATGCATTAAATGGTATTTGAAAGATGTGTAAATTCCTTACAAGAGAAAGGCAAATTTTCCTTCCTAAACTGAAGGTAGTTAAATTACCAAGTACAGCACTTAACCCTACTTTGTCAGCTATGGCCATATATGGTCAGAAGTATTTACTTTCCTTAGCTTTAGGAGGATTATTCCTGAAATCCAAAGCAAATCTCTACCTTCAGGGAACAGGTACTTCATTGTACAAGGTCCTTATTTTAATTGCCGTTCCATTCTTGGTTTGTCATGTTTGTCAGTTTTTCAATGTAAGTTAAACACAAAATGTAACACTCCTAAAAATTAAAACTACCACATTAGAGATACTTTCTACTTTAGTGTTCAGTTCAAGTATAATAACATGAAATGTGTGGGGAATATGAGACTGGATAATAATTTCTAAACAATATTAGCCTTACAAAGTAATATATATGTATGCACCATTAAGATCTGTCTTTAGAGGACCATCTTTTTTCACCACCCTGAAGGACCTCAGATCATTCTCATGAGGTGGGAAGCTTGCTCAAGACCTGCTTGCAGGCCCAAACCACAGAACTTGCAATGCAATCCTACTCTGACCATAGCAGTGCTGATGAATTGAGCAATTTCCTAGGCACAGGTCTAGCAGATGTGCCTTGAGGAAGCCCACCCCAGGCTATCTTTTCCTGAGACATAAGATACCTCCACATGCGTCATGAGGGGTTTCTTTGAGTAGTCTTACTTTGAACTTGACCACGTTGAATTTAACCTTCCATTTCATAGCCAGGTCAATCTGTATTTCAAGATATTTTGAAAACTCTTAAGCCCATTTTAATAATGCTAAGAACATTTCTTAAATTATCAGAACATGTTGCTATATTGCTTATTTATTGAACAGCCAGGACTTCAGCAGAGGTTTTGCTAGGACTCTGTGAATAAGCTCCTTCCACTCTTAAAACTGCCCATTTACACACCCTTTTGTTCTTTATTTTTAATCAGACATTATTCTACAAGAAAAATTTTCAATTTACTTTCTTTTATCAGTTGAAAGGAAATAGTTGAACACATTTTTGGATAGTCAAATACCGTACAGCAAATGGACTTTCCTTAGCCATATGCTCATTAATTTCTTCCAAACACTCCAACAGATTTGTGAGACATGCTTTTTCCTTACAAAAGCTCTAATGGAGCTATTATTCTATAAATTCCAAAAAAACTTACTTTGCCTGAAAACTCTCAACTGAATAACATACCGCTGGTTCCATCAAACATGTTATATCAGTAAAGGACTGGTTACAGACTAGCTTCTGCGCAAGATATTCAATTTGAGACACAAACAATACTCTCCTTCGAGTTAAGATATCAATTATTTCTTTTAGTGCTTAAGGGCTGTGATATGCCATCGACTACTAACAATGAAGGAAACGAGCAAATGCAGCTTTTGGAGATTGTTTGTCTTTTAAATAAAACTGAGATACATATTTTGCAGAACAAGTACAAGCTCTATTATATTTTGTTGTTATACATCTGCTTCTATTAAATCCACAATTCATTTAACAAAAATCATGACAGCTTGGGAAACTGCAGTCTCCAAGTGAGTAATAATATCACTACAGTGACTGTACAATTCAGTCTGGTTAATGTCAGTTATTAAATAGAAAACCATTTTTATTAGTTAATGCTGACACACCGGGGTATGACTTGCTTGATGCAAGAAAGTAAAAAAAATAAAATAGCAATTAAAAAGCTGCTTGACAGGTTCACGATACAGATTCACAAGGAAGATTTTGTTATCTGGAGCTGTTATTCTAGTATCATTAAATAGCAAAATACTAACTCAAGCAATATTGTTTTTAATCCTACAGTGACAATTGGTATGCATTAAATAAAACCCTATTGACGCTTCTCTTGTTTTCATCAAACACAAACCAATGCCCACAATGCCCCATTGTCCATGAAGATGACAGGATGGAAAGGTGTACGAATAAGCTACATGACTGTGAATGGATCCAGTGAAGGATGGGAAAAGTCATCAACACAGGAAAAGTGAAGGATTCATTTGTAACTTTTCAGTTCTCCTAAGAATCCCCACTAACTCATGCGAAGATGGCATAGTTATAAAACTACCCTGAAGGCTTCTTTTACAATCTCAAACTTAATTAGATCTGAAACGTTGTGTACCATTTTGCACAACCAAACAAATGATCATTAGTCCAGGTTTCACTTACAGACCAAGGTTATGGGGATCAAGTAGCTCCCCAGACAAAAGATGAGTTCTGTGTTTCCACCCTTATCTCTTACAATAAATCCCTCCAGCTGAACAAAAATATTTGTGCAAAACGAAATAGAAGAAGATGACAGTTAGCTTACTGTGTTTCACATTGATATCTCTTCAGTAGGGAAACAGGGAAATATGTCACTGATTCCCCCTTTAATAAGGGAAGGACAAACCATTTTAAGACAAATAGTTACTACAGTAGGACA